ATTAGTTAAAAGGAATTTATTTTTAAATTAACTTGTAATTTTATGTAAGTAGGCTCTTTACATAAGTTATTTTTTTCTTTAATTTCTATATTTAAATATATAATTATAAGATTTTTTATTTATAAATAGTTATAATTTGATAAGGATTACAAAATATTTGGGTATTAGAATTTTCTAATTCGGAATACTTTTAAGTAGATGAGAAATTGTAGTTAAACATAAGATTAGATATCCACATGACATCTTACAGTAAGAGAAAGAGATGCGTAGATACTCATGATATAATACATATCAACTTTTTGTGTACTTATAATGTGCATGTTAATTTTTCTGTACACTTAAAATTCCACAAATTTCTCATTATATATAAAGGAAGGATGAGAATAATGAGTATGTTTGGTTCTAAGCACCAAATTGGATGTTTGGTAGTGAGATGACCTCTTATCATATACTCATTCAATTATGTAACTCATATGAATGTAGTCCCCTTTTTAAAATAAGTGGATAAGAATAGGTCACATTACTACCAAGCACCAATTTTGTACTTGGTACCCAACATACTTGATTTCCTTTATCCTCTCTCTCTCTCTCAAATGTATATACACACACTAATAGCAGCAAGGCACCGTAACAATCAACAAGAGAATAACTAAATCAATAGTATGCTTATTTTACACGATTAGGCTTATATAATAGACATATTAATTAGTTATAGCATCTTAGTTTCTATGGATATATAGGGCTATACAAACTAACAAACAAAATTTAGCCCCAGCAATAAAGAATAATTAATAAATAATATGCATATCTAATGTCATTTCTAGACCCCTAAGCTCTTCTTTTGGGTTATTAAATCTTATAACACCTCTAGGATGAAGAAGTTCTCTTCATTGATCTCTCCTATAGATGTTTTCCTGCAAAAATAATCAATGGTCAGAGGTTTGATTTTGAAATATTAATTTAGCTAGCTCAAAACTAAACCAAGAAAAGATCACGCTCTATTACTATTGGCTACAAAATGAACATGATCCACAAAAAAGAGAAATTCATCCAAGCACTTGGTTGAATAATTTATGTAAGCACAGGATGATCATCATGAAACAATTAATACAATTATCGCAAACAACACAATAGACAATTTTTACAAAATTCATAAATTGGACCATGGATGAAATTCAGTTTTCTTCCAGGCAACATGCATTTTCTTTTCCTTTCCATTGGAAATATAATTTTTACTCTTGATCTACATTGATAGAATTCAAAGCACCAAACCTAGAACCAAAATCTACATCTAAATGGAATTAAAACCAATGACTGTGATTTAGCCTTTTTCACCCATGCATTTCATTGCCACACAAAATGAATGCAGAACTAATATAAACTGAGAATCCAAAGTCGGGGTTGATAATCAAAATATGTTGAAATCATTATATATCAAAGGACAATTTTTTAAAAACAGTCGTTTTTCAACATTAATGAGCAAAATCGACCATTAAAAAAAATCAGCAAAATTGACCCTTTTCATCTGAAAATGGTTGATTTTGCTGCTGGGAATTTTTTTTGGACTGCACGGGACTACTAGTCCTGTGTATTTTATTTCTCTCTCCTCACTCACCTGCCTATCTCTCTCTCCTCACTCACCTCCCCCTCTCTCCCTACACCACCCCCCATGCAACGCAATAGCGCCTGCCACCGCCCACTTCCGCTCCCCTACCTCGCAAAACCCCGCTCTCAATGCGGCCCCGGGCAGTCCTCCACCTTCCCCTCCCCTCTCTCCTCCCCTCCTCCGCTCTGTCACCCAGAAGCTGAAGAACACCTCATGCAGCTTGCTCCAGGTCAGCATCATGTTGTATACCGTCTTCGCGAACCTGAACGCCAACGCGATCAGGTTCACCATCATTATCACAATCGGTCGCGGACTTCGCCGTCAACGTGAAGGAAATCTCGATGCCAACGATCACTTTCAACAGCCCCTGTATGACCACGTAGAAGCGTTAGGACGTTCCGAATATGAGCCTCGTTGCGCCACCAGTCTTCGAGCGTGATACCAGACCACTTGACTTTGAGGACAGCGAGGCCGATGAGGCCGAGGGAGATGCAGAGGAGGTAGACGAGGAACGAGACGTTTAGGGTCTAGATGATGAATTGGCCAAAGAAGAGGGAGAGGGCGGGGAGGAAGCAGTAGACGATGAGGAAGCTGGAGGTGAAGGGGTAGATGTCGACGTTCATGTAGGAGATGCGCTGGAGGATGTTGAGCCTACGGGAGGCGAGGATGGCATTTAGGTAGGTGAGGAGAGAGAGATAGGATGCACGAGACTAGTAGTCCCGTGCAGTCCAAAAAACTTCTCAACAGCAAAATCGACCCTTTTCAGATGAAAAGGGTTGATTTTGTTGATTTTTTTTTTTGAAATGGTTGATTTTGCTTATTAATGTTGAAAACGACTGTTTTTAAAATTTCTCCTATATCAAACCTCGGTGGATTTGGAATTTCTTGAATCACAATTTAGACAATGGTTTACGAGAGTCTAATTTATAGATAAGATATTTCTTTCCAAGGGATCCTACAAAGGGAAAAAAATGTTTTAACTTTGATTAATGGACATTCTTGGGTGTCTAATCATGGTTAGTTATATGCATTTTATATTTCGGTTCTACAAAATGTGTTTCACCACAAAAATCTAGTTAGTCCCTCATCCAAACACAAGGGAACTTCATGACTATTACTTGAGTACTACTATCATGAAGCCGTACCTCTACCCGATACTTCTTGGACACTCCTTACATATATGCATATATTTATTCAGATCTATACTCAATTATACAATACATATTTTAATTTCAAACACTCGCCATACAATTTTTGGACATATATCTCACACTTCAAATCCACGTTTGAAAGTTGTCAAACAAGGACCGGGTTTGTTTCAGCCCATATTTAGTTAAAAACTACAATTCCAAAGGGATGTTTGTGTATCTAGCTCCGAAGTCAGAACTATGATTTCAGCCCGTGTGTTTCAATCATGTCCCCGTACTCTACCTTTTCAAGTTTGCCATGTCCTGTACCCGTACCCATATCTGCACACATAACCGTAACCATATCCATGCAACTTAACTTCATCGTATAGTTACATGACAAATATTTTAGTCTGAGTATGTGGTTGAGCTATTTAACAAAGGAGAGGCCCTTAAAACTCGAGATAAAAGGATGCTAATGGCAATATAAAAGTTTGTGACAAAGGAGTTGTTATTTTATTAGCAAAAGTCCGTTAGTAGAAGGAAAAACCATACAAAGTAAAACAATAAGCATAGCAATTGTAATATACTAATAGGTAGCAATAATGTACCTCCAGTTTAGCCTTAGCCTCACCATCAAAAGTTTTGCACAAAATCTCATAGCTTTTCTCAGCTCCAATCTGCAAGAAAAGAGGGAGGATATCAATTCCTTGCAAACTTCAAACAAGTTCGATGATCAATGGAGAAATTAATACCAATGGGTCCACTCTTGACGGTGAAATGGTGGAAATTACGTATCTGTAGCAAAACAAAATATTCGTTCTCTTAGAACTGAGGATTAGACCTTGTAACAAAAACCACAATACTTGTCAACTAGTTATCTATCTATCATTCAGTAGGTAGGTACCGCAGTTTATTTGTGTAGAAATGCATGGCTGATACATTAGCTTTCTGTACTGTTAGCATCACAGCTCCCATACGATTCTGCAAAATAAATGAAAGACGCTCCAATGTTCAGTATGAATGCAAGAATATCATTTCTCCATGTGAAGACTGCCAAGGATGATTTTCATAAGAGTAAATTTCACAGAAACTCCCTGAACTTTTGGAGGTTTTGCACAAAACCCATAGACTATTTAATCATAGAAACCATCCTGAACTTTCAAAATTATACGAAACCACCTGAACTGCTGAAAATTATCATAGATGGCGTTAACTTGTGGAGTAAATAGTCTAAACCAACCTTACACCTTTTACCTATCCATACCCAAAAAGGATAAGGAAAAAGTTAGATTTAATACGTAAGGGTAAAACTGTCAAGTTAAAGTACCAGCTGTCAGTCACAATACTTAAGTTAGACAAGTTCGGGATGTTTTTTTTTCCTGATTCATAAAGTTCAGGAGGTTTTGTGAAATTGACCCTGATATTAATAACAGTGAGAATCAAAAGCATAACAAAAGACGATAACAAGTGTAACAACAATTACTGAAATTAAGACCACCATCAACTATATAATTGTAAGAACCCAGTGCTGATAGTATCAATATCAAAGCAAGAAAAAAGCTTATATACCTTACGAGCAATGAGTTCAATTAGTTGCATCAGAAACTTCCCCAATCCTTTCCCTTGAGCACAAGTTTCTAACTGTAGCTCATACACATAAATCACTGGTATGTCTTCTTCAACTATAAAACGATAATGAACAAAACCAACAACACGGTCTCCATCACCCATCCATTGAGTACAAGGCCCTTTCTCATTTTTGTTCACTGGATTCTCATCAAGCGATGAATTTGGAGATAAACGCACAAATATATATCGTGCTTCAGGGGCCACCATTTCTCTGCGCTTCACCTTCTCCTCTGTAAGCCACTCTGAACCATAAGGCCCTTCCATATTGGCCTGGACATTTAATTCATTTGACATTACAAATGATAATTCATTGGCAATTAAACCGTGATTATACTTCAATATAAAGAATGAATTACACTTACCTTAAGAAGGTTTTGTATGTATTTCTTCATAAGGGAGGAGAGATGTTCACCAAATCCAGTCTCCAAATAGACAGACAGACCTGATCATCCAATAATTATTAATTTCACATTAAAAAAAATAAATTTAGCATATGGTACTGATATTTTCCTATTCGTGAAGATACTCGAGTAGTTAACTGCTATAATATTTGCAATTTCTGCAGAAAATTTTGAATCAAATCAAACATTTCATTTGCTTCTTACCATTTCTGTCATACTGACAAAAGGGTGGAAAGGCAGTTAGATGGTCCTTTACGGCACATGCAGCTTTGATTATTTCATTGATTGCTTTTTTCTTCTCCAATACCTACATAATTGTTTCATGTTAAACCCAGAAGTATTATGTAGTGATTGAATTTCATCAACCATACATATATTTAGGATAGATATAACAAGTGCCAAAAATGGATGAATTATAGAATCACATAAGGAAAAAATAGCAAAGATGTACACTACTGACTTATCTCTTGATATTTTAGAAACTCATCAATTAACACCATCTATTGCAATCCCAACTTTGACAAATTAATGACATTTCACCATACTCTCTAACACTAAAGCAATGTTTTATCTGAATATTACTATATTTCTACATATCTGATAATTTCTGTAAGCAAAGTAAGTGGATATCATTTTCTCACAAGTGCAACCCAAACATACAGTATTAGGTTACTTCAAGACAAATTTTAAAAACGATTAAAAAAATCAACGTTAGTGAAGTAAGACAAAATATTCTCATCGAAAATCTAACGGAGGAAAGGGGGGTAATCTGAGGGATAAACAAAATATTATATGAAGGGATACAAAAAGAAAAGCAATAGTTGACATCCAAGTCTACACCTCCAATCCACCTTCAATGTATACACGAATGTTCAACAAGAATTTGACTACAGTAAACACATTTAACAGGAAGCTTTAAGGCCTTTCATCCACAGAAAAAAATGCACATTATTGATTGAACTCAACTAGATTTTTTTTGAACACCAAGTTGGATGATGAATAAAATTTTCAAAAATGCAGAGAAAAAGATATCCCAAGACACTGCAAAACTATTCAAATTATAGTTAAGGTACAGCTCTAGACAATTTGTTACCTTTGACACTGATTCTTCAACTGCACATGTCAAGCTATCAACAAGACCAAGCACATCTCTACAAGACTTCAGTCAAGGTAATCTTTAGTTGCCAGCATGAAAGTCTATAGGTGCATACTTAACTGATATGCACACGCACGTAAGCACACGCTTGCACGCACAAACAGAGGGAGTGAAAGAGGGAAGAGGGAGAGTGATTTCACACAGATCTCTCTTTAACCATTTGAATTTATGTTCTATTCCTTGGTTACCACATGCAACCAGTTTTGAAATGTTTAAGTTTCATTTCTTTGGCATACTATAGATCAAAAGTTGATGAATATGATGCCTAAGAAATGATTGTAAACTATAGAATTTATGATTGGATGGCCAATGTGATGTTTTATATAAACTATAGGATTATTTTCCTATGATTAAACAAGAAAAGCATCACGCTTTCTCCATATCAGTGTTTTGTGCGTCCTCACAATCATCATCTATCAGGGTCACAAGCTAGTAGTTACAAACAATTCCGAGGTAAAAACTTTCAACTAAATTTTTATTTATTTATTTATTATCATTATTATTATTATTATTATTATTATTTGGATCAGTACCTTCATAGGGTACCAAGGATCAAAACCCATCTCAAAGTACCAAACATTTCAGAGCCCACATGATACCAATTGAGATAGAATCATATAATCGGTGGGGGAAAAACCCCAATAAAATTAGGGACCCAAGAATCAAACCTACAATGGGGAAGGGGGAAAAAAGCCAACTGACCCACAATCAAAAAATGCTCAAAAATCAACACAAAAAGAGATACCCGGATGGAATAAAAGCATGGAGATTGTAATAAAAGGGGGAACAAAAAAAAAACCTGCTTCCTTTTGATCTTCTTCTCTTTGCCGCTGCTGTTGCGCCTCTTGTTGTTGGTCTCCATTCCAGCTAAGAGAGAAGTGAGTCTCGATCAGTTCTCAAAACCTCCGTTGATTTTGGGACAGGATAGATAATTTCACATCAGGAACTGAAGTGGGTCCTGGGTTTTCTTTGTGTTTTGAGCCCTTTCGGTGATTCCTCGCAGGCGAGCGAATAGAATGGGGAGAGAGATGCATCCAGAGAGAGGCTTTAAGCCCCCAGAAAGCAGCAGCGCATAGTCGCCGAGTCTCCCCGCCCCAGGGATAATGACAGGGAAATTTCACCAAAGCCCAAATACTGTGGAGCGTTTTCGACAGAACCCCTCAAGACTTTGTTTTTTTGCAATGGACACCTGAACTTTCTCGGAACTGCGCGGACGACCAATCAAAATCTTCCGCCCTTTTTTTTTATTTTGCCCCCCAAAGAACAAACTCTCACTTGTTCGCTGAACACACCACAATTTCTGTGTGTTTCAAAGTCGTTTAATCTGGTCGAGTCATCTCAAGCAAAGAAGTTCTGTCTTGTCATCGAGCGGTCAAGGAGTCAAGAAGAGGAACAAGGAAGTTTTGAGGTTTTCAATTTCGATCCAGACTCACGGAGTTGAGAGTACTGGAGACGATATGACGTTTGTGGATATGAATCGTATCATTGTAGGTCGGAGATGTGATTTTCTCGATGGATTTAAGGGGAATTGTGTAGTGTGTTCAGATGATGATTGTAGGTTTTGCTTGTGTCAAAGATCTAAGCTGGTTCATCCCTAGTCTTGATGGGTATCGTCTTTTTTCTCCCTTCCTAATTATAAACATACAATCTTCACGTTAAATGTTTCTGCAAAGCATGAGATTTCCGAGTTATATATACAGAATATTAGGATATAATGATCACGTTAATACGTTCGTAAGAACTAACGTTAAGAAGATGTGCTTATCGTGTCAAATTCCAAGGCTTCGCACAATGGCCCCTCAAAATCTAATGTCATTACCATTCATGGTTCCTATTTCATAAAGATGCTGAATCAGTAACTTGTTTGGTTGAATGTTGTCGCAACTTTTTGTAGATTAATAACTGAAAATCCATGGTTGAATATGGTCTATCCATAAATATTTGCAACTTAATTTAACTTTGATTAATTATTTGACTCTAGATATTCTTAAGTAGAATGAAACTTAATAGTAAACAATAGTCGAACTTTTATGTTTGTGTTTCAAGCAACAAAAATGTTTAAATAGATCTTTTTGATATACTCATGAGCTTTGTCAAAATTGACGATGTTATCAAAAGCTCTCTCAAAATTAACAATGCTATGAAACTAGGTCTGTCCAAAAAGTTCGCCGGCCTGGGCCCGGCCTGGAAATCCGGGCCTGACCGGGTTCCAGGCCAGTGTGCCTGGCCCGGGCCCAGCTCGGTCCAGAACAGCGCCGGCACCGGGCAAAAATCCGGGCCCGGTAGCCTGGGCCCGGAGCCCGGTGGCAACGATCACCATAGGTAACCGTTTTGGCCATAAGAGTGACCGTTGTGGCCAAAACGGCCCGGGCCGGTCACAACGGCCATAAACGGTCTTTTGACCGTTTTGTCCCCAAAAACGGTAAAAAACGGCTATTTTGTGAGGTTATTTTAGTCATTTGTTTAGGTGACTGGCTCTATAAATAGAGGGGGGGGTTTTATTTGTTTTCTTCACACCAAAACCCATCTACTTCTCTCTTATACTCTTATACTCTCTTATACTCTTATACCCTTATACTTTATAATCCTTTCATCAAATGGCTTCCGGATCTGATTATGAAGAGCAAAACCTATCTCCCGATCTTAAAATGAGTCCTCCTACTTGGTCTACTCCTACCGAAGTTAATCCCGAATCCGGTGGCAACGAATCTGCACCAAGAGCTCCTAAAAGGCCAAGATCGGATGTGTGGAATTTTTACGAGAAGATCGACGTCACCAAGGATGAACACGGTAGGATCCTCACCCAGAAGACTAAGTGTGAATTGTACGGCAAGATTTTTCAAGCTCATCATAAGAGCGGCACCAACCACCTCAAACGTCACTTAGATAAACACAACAAAGGCCAGACTCCTCAAGGTGATATCCGACAATCTATGATTTCTCAATCCTCCTCTTCTGGTAGTCTCGGTAGTTGGAACTATGACGCTGCCAGAGCTAGAAAATGCGTAATCAGTTTTATCATTCTTAAAAACCTTCCTTTTAAGTTAGTAGAAGATGATGAATTTGAAGATATGTTTAGAGATGGTTTTTATCCTGCATTTAAAAAAATTTCTCGTCAAACCTGTCAACGTGATATTTTAAAATATTATTAGGAGGAACAAGGAAAAATAATTTCTTATTTTAAAATTTTAAACCGTAAATTTTCTTTAACTTCTGATATTTGGACATCTAGAGCACAAACTGGATATTTATGTATCACAGCACACTGGATTGATGAAAATTGGCAAATGTTTAAAAGAGTTGTTTCTTTTATTATAATAGAAGAGTCACATACTGGTATTAATGTTGCAAATTTAATAATTGAAGAACTTATGAAATTAAAAATTTCAGAAAGAATATTTTCTCTTTCACTAGATAATTCAAGTAATAACAATGTAGCTGTTGATTTTATCAGATCAACTCTGTCATTGTCATGTCATGGTGACCTTTTTCATATTAGGTGTATCTGTCATATTTTAAATTTAATTGTTCAAAGTGTATTTACTGAAATTAAACCCATGATAGAAAATGTTAGAACAATTGCTTATATGCATAATGCTTCTGAACAAAGACTTAAAAGATGGAAATAATTTTGTAAAAGAAAAAATATAAAGCCCAGACTAATTCTAAAAGATGTTGACCATAGGTGGAATTCCACCTATGCAATGTTAAGTGTAGCAATAGAATATAAAGATATTATAACTGATTTTATAAATTATTATACTTCTAGTTCTAGTTCTGGTAGCACTTATGGAATAACTGATGATGAATGGACAATTATATGTAATTTAAATAAAATGTTATAAGTTTTTTATGATGCTACAATGTTATTATCTGGCTGTTATTATCCAACCATTACTTTAGCTGCTTTACAAATTTTAAATATTCAAATTTTTTTTGGGAAATATCGTATGGATAATACTTTTGGACCTATGATTTTTCAAATGGAGAGCAAATTTAATAAGTACTTTAGGCCTATTCCTCATATTGGTTTGGGGGTTCTTATTGATCCATGCTTGAAGGATATTGGTCTTCGAAGTTTATTACAATCCTTGTATAGTAATCAGATTATAGACTTAGATGATGGAACCACCATTACTGCTACTACTCATCATTTAGCTATTAAAAATTATTTTCAAACCTTATATAACGAGTATGCAGCTAGACATGTTGTAGCTACACAACAGTCTACAGCTTCAATTTCTTCGAGCTCATCCCGAGGTAAAAATGTAAGTTTTGATAGGTATGCAATGGTAGCTGAGCTAACTGGTGGATCTGGACTTGGATCGTTATCATTGGAGGTTTCTGAGATAGATGAATATTTATCTGCTTCTTTAGTTAAATGTCAAGAAAATGCTTTAGATATTTTGTAATGGTGGAAAGTATATGGATCAGTTTCATATCCTATACTTTCCACAATGGTTCGTGACTTACTAATAGTGCATGTTTTGACGGTAGCTTCAGACTCCGCGTTCAGCATAGCAGGACGTTTGATCGACGACCACATGGCATGCTTAGATCCGTATACTGTACAAGCGATGATGTACTTACAAGATTGGTGGAGGTACGAGAAGCGAACGCAAGGCATCAATCGAATGGCTGGAATTGAAGATAAATTTGATGAATTGGGACTAGCAGATAGATATAAAGAATAAATAATATTCATCAAATTGTAATTTTTATATCTTATCTTAAAATTTGTAAATAATTATTTTGAAAATAGTTGCAAATGATAGTGATATAGGTGAGTAGGTGCCAACCTAGTTGGGATGTACTTATTTATTGTGATGCGATGAATTCTAAAATAAATTTATACTTGTAATTTGTAAATGATTTATTAATTATTAATAAAGAATTTATTTTTATAATTTTTTATTTGTAATTTATGTCATTTTATGTGATTAATAAAATTATTATTTTTTATTAATTTTTTAGTCTTTTTTTGTATAATTTAAATTTTAAATAGAATTAAAAAAAGAAAATAAACCGGGCCGACCCGGAACCCGGCCCGATCGGGCTCGGGGTACCCGGGCCCGGACCCGGACCTGGCCCGGAGTACCCGGGTCCTGGTCCGGGCTCCGATTTTGGCCCGGATGGACATGTCTATATGAAACGCTATAAGAAACGGAGCATTGACAATCATGGTGATTGTTGACGGGCTAAGTAGAGAATGCAACATTCCATCTCCTTCAGATTTAAAATAGATATTCTATAGTATTTGAGAGATATTGAGAAGATTTTGCGGGTAGAGTTTGTTGCTATTTTTGTTGGCCCAAAATTTGGCCCGTTACCAAAAGGCCCAGTTTCCCACAATATTTGTTTCAGCCTATCTCTAAACCTCTCCTCCTACCCGATGGTGCTGAACCCTAAGTCGGCAGCCTCCTTTCCATCCCTTTGTCCTGCTCTGTAGCCACTGTGAGTCCCATCTCCCATCCCTGTAGGTCGGCTCCTACCATTCGAAACCCTAGGCTTCTCTCCCGTGTCGGCTGCCCCCTTCTCTATTTAGGTCGAAGGGTTGATAGTAGCTTGGAAGAGATTGAGAGCGACGGTAAAGAAGACCCTGAGTTTTGTGCTCTCCTCTGCTTTGTGCGATCCATCCTCTTCCTTCTAAAGCTTTGTGCTTTCACCCTTTGTGAGGTGAGTGGAGAGACAATGGAATAGTTGTTTTCCCCCTTTTGTGTTCTTGGTGGTGCACTAGAGAAGAAGAACGGACTGGTTGGTCAGGCTTCTGAGACAAACTTGCGACCACGTCGATCCTCAACATTGGTATCAGAGCTCGGTGAGTCGTCGCCATTCAAAACCGCCGGTCGCCACCCTNCGCTGGGCTTCTTTGATTCGTCGCTACTGGACCACCGCAGGAATGTCACCGGACTGCCACGTGGGTAAGGTCAAAACTCTCTACAGTGGGTTTCGCTCAGGTAATCTCTGGTTTTGTTGGAAATTACCGTAATTTGGTATCTTTGGCCTTGTTGAATTTTTTTTTTCCAGAAACTAAAATTGGTTTGTGCTCGTGCGAAAGAACAAAGGGTCTGAACTCGAGCTTCGTGCTCATCGTTATTCCCATTTTGTTTGTGCTAGTTGCTTCACACACTTTGAGCCTGATAAATTTTGAAATTTTTTCCAGCT